CGAATCCCTTACTATTTTTTTTTATAGAAACTTAAAATTACTCGAAAGTAATTAGTATGGTGACATTACATAACGCTTGCCTCTAATTGTCTAATTAGAAAATCTATCGCAATCACTTTCAAGTTAACATTTATAACATATTCACCAACTTCACGCTACGATTATTTGACATGTGCCTGCAAGCGCAAACTTTATTAAAAGATATTGAATGAACCATATAATTAATTAGAATTGTCTAAGGCAAGCGTGAGACGCAAATATATCTGAAAGCTATTGAGAAATGTCAAGCGAAATGCTAACTGTAATCGTTCGATGGATTTCACTAAATTTTTATATTTAATCAATTTTCAATTAATGTTTCTTGATCATTCAAATTATCATTTGTTTCAAAAGTGATTGTGAGTTATAAATTACATAATTCTATAAATTGTTATACCTTTAATAAGGATGCCATATGTTTAAAATTAAACAAGTAAAACGAATTAACTGGAAAAACTACGATTTAATCTAATTCAGCAAGCGGCCTACAACATTTACAACTATGTAAACCAATCATATTAAAATGTATGGATAAACCATACCAGTGTCCACGTGAATGAAATGATAATATAAAAAGAAACTGGATTTATAATTTATTAGCTGATTGTTTCTTGTTTCTGAGCTCTTGAGGAATTTCATTTTCCTTGGGAATTTATAGATACTACTAGTGGATGTAAAATCAATAAGTTTTTTATAAATGGCTGTTTTCCCGAGAGAAGAAGTCTTATTCTAAGTTCTTTTGATATTAGAACTTAAATGGATACTGGAAAGGTATGAGCATGTGGTGTTTATCTTTAAGAGGTTGTACAATTGATATAAGACCCTTCAAAAATTTCGTTTATGTACACATTTGTATAAACTGTAGATAAACCTGTGGCCTAATTGACGTATTTTAAAATCTATCTCAATCACTTCTGATTTTGACATTTCAAAGATATTCACGAACTTCATGCTATAATAATTTGACATGTCAAAGTGAAGTGAACTGAAGAAGTGATAGTTATGAGTACCTATGGAAGCTATTTGGAAATGTCACACAAATGAATTGTCTATCTATAACATAATATGATTCAAAATAATAATTAGTTCCAAAAGCTTTAAAAGTTGCATAATTCCATAAATCACTATCAAAACCGCTCTACGTTTGAAAGGGTTTATGATAGATTTTCTGATAAATATAGGGCTAAACAGCAAAACAGCTAACATCATAACAATATTTGTACTATCACAAGTTTTAATTTTTTTTTGCAGTTAAAAAAATAACATATTCATACTAATATTAAAAACTGTACAAATAATATGATACATTTGTTTGCCTTCAAAAGGTTTCGCAAATACTATACTGATTTTAAAACCTGCGCTTTCTGATCTGATCTTTCACCTGCGGGAAACTACATCATACGAGGTTGAATTTGGTTAAATTTAAGCGGGTGAAGTCACGGGAAACCTTCTGGTATCTTATAAGTTTAACACAGCTTCATTTGAAAAATACATACACGAGTACAAAGGTATTAGTTTTATGTGAATTTCATTTTTCCACTAAAGACATTGTTGGCTTGGTCCTGAAGCAGGTTGGTTGATCTTGTGGTGTTGTTCTCTTTTAAAAACAGCTTCAAACTCGTCGTCTAGCGCAGCTCTGTTATATCATAGAGGTTCACACAATTAATACCTATTCGGTATAAAGGATTTCTTTCATTAAAGCTCTATAACGTGACAGCGCGGTGTTCGAAGATGAGGTCAAGACCATACTTACTAGAATATTGCTGTTCAAAAACATTCACTTATCTCTTATATGAACACAATATTAGCATCATATTTATAAGCTCATGAGGTAAAATCAGCTTAAGAGATCTTTTGGAATTTGCCTATATTTATACAAATAAATAAAATGGGATGTCTATTCGTTACGTTAAATTAACCGCTTTTTATTAAGTGGAAATGTATGGATCCATAGTACATTTTTTTTGTCTGACTCTCTGTCTGTCTCTCTGTCTGTTTATTCCGGCTAATTTCTGAAACGGCTACCCTGATTTTGACGGAACTTACACTGGGAGCTTATGATAAGGAGTAGCTGAGACTAATTTTCCGCAGACGAAATCAAAGGCACAGCTAGTTTAAAATAAACCTTTCGCTGTGAAATTCGTATATAAATATGTAGTGCCTAGCTGTAACATACAAACGATAAACTTAAAGAGTCTGTAATTAAAACTCTCATCAGCTATTACGATAGCATTGTAAATGAGCCATATATAACGCATACGTTACACTGTCTGCGAGTATGCAATAGTTCATGAGCCAGCTAAAATTTTTTTAATCATAAAATATTCAGGTGCACGAAATTTGCACCGTAAGCCAGGTGCAAATTTCGTGCACCTGAATATTTTATGATGTAATAATGTTCTATAGTAGGAGTAGTTCGTAGTAGTAGTTCTATAGTAAGGACTATAGTAATAATGTTCCTATTCTAGACGTTACAAAGATCTGCACCTCGCTTACGAAACCTCGACTGTGTAATTAGCTTCGTGAATGCGGTTTTAATGGCATGCTCTGCGTCCATCAAACAATATAAATGCATCTTCATACACAAATTTGGTAACCTGACTATGTGTACCACAAATCTACACTGAGATATTCATATGTGATTGAGAAATCGCTAGAAATTACCGAGAGATGGAAAAAAGTGTTTTGAATTTAGATACTAACTAGGTCACGTCCTCATTGCAGATTAGCAATACCAACAGATTATGCTTATACAGAAGTCAGTTTACTGCAACAGCATAACAAAAAACGCAAGCGGCGAAAGTCCATGGCGCTTGCGCAAGTGTAGTAAGAGTGATGTACTTACGACCTAAATATCGATGATTTCCTGACCACTTACCTGTATGTTTGCAATAAGACATTCTTTGTTTAGTGAAACAATAAATTATTTGTGTTACTCTGAATATAGTTTTAACACGATTCAAACAGAGCATTAAAAATAATTCTGAATAAAACCATAATTAAATGAAACCAATAAAACTGAATCATAATTCAACATATATATTTTTTAAAAAGCACGCTTTAGAAAAAAATATCTTACAAAGCAAATTACCTCACTAATTTGAAATCTCTAGAAACTGCGTTTTGTAATGTTGATCATCATCAGCTGGCGTCACTCCAAGTGACCTAATTATTCACCCTTGACTTTGCGACTGCGACGAAGAAGCACACGTGTTTTACTGCGAAGATTCCAGACTAATCGTTAAAAAAACTCCATAATAATAATATAATACAAAATAAAATTAAACCTGTGATCATAATACAATGTTCGTTTGAAACAAAGCGTAATAGTGTGTACTGTTTTTCTTTTTTGCATTTATTTATGTTAAGAAAAACTGCAAGAGCAGATAAACCCCACCACAATATTTTAGAAGTAAATAATAAATAAATTCTTCATTTTATATTAAAATATTTTCCTCTCTTCTTATTGTATACATTATAGTACATTTGTATTTAAACTCAATAACCTAGGCATAACCCTTTTTATTCCGTCCAAAGCGTTAAAATTAACTCAGGCAATGAAGGTTATGTTACCTTTTCCCAAATTGTCACAATTTGTCAGTTTAAGATATTCTCCCAAATAGTGACTAGGATAACTACAATAAACACCTGTTATCTACACATAATACCAATAATATTTCCGGTATCCGTAACTACTATATTAGTGCAAGCAACAAGGAAGTATCATTGAACTTTTGGCTTGGGACCAAAGAGAACTACGTATTGTTAGTAAGTATTTTATTTCGTAATGTTGTGTATTTTATTTAAATGCTTACTTGGATAAATAAAAACGTAGAGAAGTAGCGTCATGCGGATACAATGTGTGCAGCGGGTAAGTGTTCGCATAGCTCCCCACCCGCACACGCGTGGAATTAGCCCACGGGGGCAATCTACCGTCTGTGAAAAGGCTGTTAATCACTCAAGTCTTTTCTTTCCTGCAGAGAGAGACTCCTCTCTATCCTCCGCGAGAGAATTCCTAACGTGGCTGAAGAAATCGGGTCCTACTTCAGGCTACTTTCTGTCAATGTGAGGTAAACTGCAGCTGGTTTTACAAGATAGGCTTTCCACATTAAGCTGCCCTTTTCAGGGCAGGATGTTTGGAGAGCCCTAGTTTAAGGCTTAAGATTCATTTCCTCTGCATTACCAAAAAAAAGGCCTCATAGCTACTATTAAAAAAAAACAATAATTTTATTCCCATCCCTCAGTACCTCTTTTGACATGCAAAGCCATAGTGTTTTTAATATTTTACCAATCTACTGCTATAATTGCTTTTCTCGTATAATATTTTATAGAGATTTAAACACAACGTGCACATTCGTACCCCACATGATAAAAATATCCAATATCCGTCATTAGATATTCATAAAATAAATTAACCAGCTTTTACCAGGAAAGCTCATACTATATTTTAAGATGCGATGAATTTCAACATAGTGATTAATATAATTTGCCGAAATAACCTTGGAAGTAACCTCGTAGAGATAGTCGTGACATTATTTAACAAAAAAAAAAGTAGATCCAACTTCATGATATTTTAAAAATAAAATTATTTATTTTGTATTTCTATACTTACTATCTTTAGATATTTATTTATTTACTATGCTATTTATTTCATCTAAACTTATATTATTTATGAAAAGGAGGTAAAGTTTTCATCACATTCGTGAAGCTACCTTATACGCGGGTGAAGACGCGAGTAAACATCTAGTAGAATATAAACCTATATTGCATTATTTAATCTTCATATTTTCGTGTCATATCAATATAGATAGGATATCACACGATAGGGAAAAAAGGTAAATCAACTAATTAAAAATCGACAAAATTTCAGACATGAGCACATCACTACGAAACCTTCACCGTTCCCTCGAACTGACCGATCATTTCAAAACGATCCATCGTGTACGGTGTTTACTTTTTTTCAATATAGAAAGTACAAGAGACCCATGCTTTTGAATTACATACGTGAAGTGTATATTTTTTCGTGCTGAAGTGGATATGTGTTGTGATGAGTTTATTAATAAACATTTCGCTGACGTGAAAGTTGAAGTTCAATGAAAGGTAAAAGAATTAACACTTATCTCTATAGGTACATCACTGTCATACGTGCTATTACTTAAACACATTACTGTTTTCTTTTAATGGTCTATTCTTTAAATTAAATAAAATTGTAGACATATTTATCGTCAATATCCTCAGATACCTATATTTTTAAATTGAATATAAATTAGGTTATAGAAACCAGACATTGTTTATTCAATCAGTACGTTTGAAAGTCGGTTAGAAATAAGTACATCTTATTGGATAAAAAAAGTCTATGAAAACATTTTCTTTTTTATAGTTATGAAAAATGTGCTTAATTGTTTTTGCGTGTCCCAAATATTTAATTCTGCTTTGCTTCCTCGTGAGGTTAAGGGTTAACTACAAAGATCCCTTAATTTTATTAAAATAAGCGTTAACATTCCACATTAATTCCTTTGCTTTATTATTAACCATAAAAAGTTAAACGTTTCGATAGACATGTGTTTTGAGGAGACAGTAATTTTACTATGCTTTTCTTTTAAAATTTATTTTTATTATTTATTATAATGACATGCTTCTATATATGCGCGTGTTTCTTATCAGCTTTATTAAATTATACTATGAAGCTTTTAGTTGAAAAAGACACATTTTTTGTTAGATGACTTGATAAAAAAAAAACTTTAAATATAATATCGAAACGATTTTTGTATATTTCTTTTATCTATTGAAAAGCTATGGTATGGTGGTACACAATCTCAAAATCAAGGAAAACAATATACTATTGAGTGCTTGTATAAAATTCTATTGAAAACAGCCTCCAAGTTGTCGTCGAACAAAACGCTATCATAATATAGAGGTTCAATCAAATAAAACCTATTTCAGAAGTTTATTAAGGTTTTGTTTTGTGGAAACTCTAACCACAGCGCTCTGTTTGAGGCTGTTTTTGACCGATGCTTGATGGATCGAGGTTCCATTTAAATGTTATCGAAATCGAATAAGTAGTATTCCAAAATATCTATCACCAATTAAGATGAAATGTTATGATATGGCTCATTTCAGTTAAAGAACTAAAATTTCGTATTTAGAATTCATTAAAAACTTTTACTCTTTGGAATTGATTCAAGTCTGAAAGGCAAATTTTCTATGTTCGATGAGTATGTATACTTAACTCTTTGATGTTTATTTTTTTTTGACAGACAGATAGTAAGAATCAATGGTACTTTACTCATTGATACCCACTATATTAATATTTAAACTTTCGATAAAGATGAAAATTGTTTAATTATTTGGTCAATTTTGCATTTACCTACAATTAATTAATCCAATTAGATTTTCCATTTGAAATATTTCTTTCGGCTGGATTGCCTGAACATTGATGTAAATACGCTCTGTAGTAGCGAAAAAGTAACAAGTGCTTGTAAAATTCGTCAATGCTGTTAGGTCCTGGATAGCTTAGGGGTTAGAGCAGTCGCCCGGATTGCGAAAGGTCATGGGTTCGAGTCCCATCTCAGACTAACAGGGACAAAATCGATTTTATTAAGAATTTTAATTTTTACCTATTATGAAAAAAATATCAATATCACTAAAAAGTATTAGGTAAAAAAACTTTTTATAAAAAGTAGAACCGACTTCAAACTTTAGAAAAATGATACTTATCTCGAAAGCGACTTATTCAAGAAAATGGTATTGAAATCGGGCGCCTATCATTTAATTAAAAAGTTTTAATTTAATAAAAGATCATAGGTTGTATTGATAATCATGTAATGACCCCCTGACACACCTACTTTACGTCATCGTGACGTCACGGTGGCAATCAACGTGCAATGAAGTAAACGTCGTTTTAAAACTCTATTTTTGTCCAGAAGTTATAATGTTGTAGTGTACCTACATATAAATAAATGTATATGCATAAGATAAAATAATTGTCAAAGTAAACATTATAAAAAAAATATTATATTTAATTAAATTATATGTACAAATACTCCATAACATAATATATAAAATTGTTTAACATGTTAAATTTAAGAAATAATATTTAATGTATTTGTTTGAATGTGTTACACAAGGACAAACACATCTAGTTTCTTTGTATATAATTTTGGCGCTCGCACTAGCTCGGGACGCGGTTACTGCGCAGGCGTGAGACCGCGCGGCGTGGCGTCGCGGCTCGCGCATGCGTGAGGTAGCCCGCGAAATACGAGAGTCGCGTCCACAGATTATTATTATTGAGATGTACATAGCACGCGTTCTTTTAATTAAAATTTATTGTTTATATTATTAGATGTCAACCTGAAGTAGTTTTCATATTTCTTTTTGCTCACGTTCGCCTTCTTTATTCTACAGCATTGTGTGTACTTTTGTGCTTATCTTTTATTACTTTTTACACATGTGAGTGGTGAATAAAAACTTTAAAAATCCAACATAATTTATTTGGAGTTACATCACCACCGCCTCACTGGTGACCCCGATTGAGCACATCATGAGTGAGCCTACGAAGACATCGGAGCAAACTATAACATCAAATCCGTCGAGTGATGTTCATCGTGTTGGTGTACGGGTTCCGCCATTTTATCCAGAGAAGCCGGCGTTATGGTTCGCACAGCTAGAGAGCCAATTTTATCTGGCAAATATAACTACGGATGCCACTAAATTCCACTACGCCATCAGTCAATTGGACCCTGTCTACGCATCGGAAGTTGAAGACATAATATCAGCACTACCATCACCGAACAAATACGAGCGGTTAAAGACGGAGCTCATTAAACGTCTGTCTGCATCGAGGGAAAAGAAGGTGAAACAATTACTTATACACGAAGAGCTGGGCGACAGGAAACCGTCACAGTTCCTGCGTCACCTTCAACACCTCGCAGGGCCAGAGATTCCTGAGGAATTTCTAAAGACAATTTGGACCAGCCGCCTGCCGAGTAGTACGCAGTCAATAATAGCATCTCAAGTGAAAGCATCCCTGGAGGAAGTCGCGGAGCTGGCAGATAAAATCCATGACATCGTCCCACCAAGCCCACAAGTAGCAGCAGCGTCGGTGACACCTGGAAGTTCTACCGATACGTCCAACCAGATCGCCGAGCTCACACGGCAGATACAATTTTTGAACAAGAAAGTAGAAAGGATGTCGCGACAACGACGAAGATTTACCCCTAACGATCGTTCCCATGAAAATTCACATCACCGACGGTCACAGTCCAACTATAAAAAAATTCCTGTGTGTTGGTATCATTCTAAATTCAGTGATAAAGCTACTAAGTGCGTGAAACCTTGTGATTATTCGGGAAAAGTGTAGGGCAGATCGTAATGGCGACCGACGCCTGTCCAAACTCCGGTCGCTTATTTGTAACAGACAGTCGTACTAAAATACAATTTTTAGTTGATACAGGTAGTGATATTTGTGTTTTCCCCAAAAAATTAATCAACAAGCATCGTCACAAAACCAATTATGAATTATGCGCCGCTAACGGTTCAACGATTCATACATACGGGTATGCCCATTTTGTTTTAAATATTGGCTTGCGCCGTGACTATGCTTGGCGATTTATCGTCGCAGACGTAACACGAGCGATAATAGGTGTTGATTTTTTATCTTATTATAATTTAGTTGTAGATGTGCGTAATCAACGCCTAATAGATGCTAATACTACGCTTAGTACCTCGGCTTTGCTTGCCAAAAATTTTGATATTTTTTCTGTGAAAGTAATGTCTGGTGACACTGTTTATCATCGCATACTAGCTGAATATCCCAACATTACTCGTCCTTCTGGCTTACATGCTTCAGTAAAACATAACACTGTACATCACATACGCACAACACCTGGACCACCTGTATCTTGCTCACCACGTCGATTAGCACCTGATCGGCTTAAAATTGCTAAGGCCGAATTTGAGGCCATGTTACAGATTGGTACCTGTCGACCATCAGAGTCTCCATGGTCATCTCCTCTACATCTAGCTCCGAAAAAGGATGACGGCTGGCGTCCCTGTGGAGACTACCGGATGCTGAATGCGAGAACTATTCCCGACAGGTACTCTATACGTCATATACAGGACTTTGACTATAATCTTTCTGGCTGCACTGTATTTTCCACCATTGACCTAGTGAAGGCCTATAACCAGGTCCCGATTAATCCCAGCGACGTACCGAAAACTGCAATCACGACGCCGTTCGGCCTATACGAGTTCCCGTACATGACGTTCGGACTTCGTAATGCCGGACAAACGTTTCAACGGTTCGTCGACGAAGTGCTGCGGGGCTTAGATTTCGTTTATCCGTATATTGACGATATTTTGGTCTTTTCTGTCGATCAGAAAACTCATCAAGATCATCTTAATCAGGTATTTGGCAGATTAAACGAGTATGGCATGGTCATTAATACTGCAAAATGTACATTTGGAGCATCTGAAGTCACGTTTCTAGGCTATCATGTTTCGGCTGAGGGCGTCAAACCACCTTCAGAAAAGGTTACAGCTATTAGGAACTTTCCCGCTCCAAAAACAGTTCGAGAATTACGCAGATTCCTCGGTATGGTGAATTTTTATCGCAGGTTTATTCCACAAGCTGCTCAACACCAAGCACCGTTGAACGCTCTTTTGGTTGGATCGGTAAAAGGTTCTCACCCTGTACATTTATCTGCCCACGAACTGGAAGCTTTTGAAGAGTGTAAAGAAGATCTTTGTCGAGCTGCTATGCTGGTGCATCCTGATTGTAAGGAAAAATTGGCCTTAGTCACGGACGCATCTGACACTGCTATCGGAGCCGTTTTACAACAGTCCAAAGATGACGTCTGGCAGCCACTGGGATTCTTTTCTCGTAAGTTGTCCCCATCTCAGACCAAATATTCTCCATACGACCGGGAGTTATTGGCCATATATGAGGCTATCAAGCACTTTCGGCATATGTTAGAAGCTCGCGATTTTGTGATATACACAGATCACAAACCCCTGACATTTGCATTTCTTTCCCACAAAGCTAATTGTTCACCCAGACAGTTTCGCCACTTAGATTTTATATCTCAATTTTGCACCGACAT